TGCCGGTGAGCGGGGGTCCTGAGGTGGGGGGGAAGGGGCTGTTCCTCCCCTAACACCCCTCCTTGATGCCACCACAGACATCCCAGATGAGGCCGCCTGCGACACAGCCCTGTGCCATGTAGTGAGCAAGCTGCCCCCAGCCAACAGGGACACCCTGGCCTTCCTCATGCTGCACCTGCTCAGGTGAGGGGTTTATCCCAGTACGGGCTCCCGTGGGTCTGTCCCCATGTCCCAGCTCTCTGCCCCTCGCCCAGGCTCTGTGCCTCAGAGCAGGGAAGCTGGGCTGAGGGTCCCCTTCGTGGGGGCAGCATGCTCACACCATCCGTTCCCCTTGCAGGGTGTCTCACAGCCCCGACTGCAAGATGGACATCCTCAATCTCTCCCGTGTGTTTGGTCCCACACTGGTGGGACATGGCTCAGCCAACCCCACACCGCTTGCCATCATGGAGGACACGCCGCGGCAGTGCAAGGTGAAGGGGTCCCCGTGGCATGGGCTGTGCCTCAGATGCTGCCAGCATCCTCATCCTCTATCCCTCCCTGCCAGGTGGTGGCTCGGCTCCTCTCACTGCCACCTGACTTCTGGAGGGGCTTCCTGGGGAACGAGCAGGAGAACCTGGTGCCAACGCCAGCCCTGGGGAGTGACCGTGGTGAGGCACAGGAGCCCCGGCTCTCTCCCTGCCCTGCACTGTGGCTGCTGAAGGGTCCTCAGTGGCCATAGCTGGGCTGGGGTGTGGTAACTGTCCCCCTCTCTGTCCCACAGAGCAGTTCTTCCGCCCCATCGCCTCCCCGGAGCCCAGGCCAGGCCAGCTGAGCCCAGCCGGCACCTGCTGCCTTCCCAGCACCCTGCGGAGCTGCGTGGGCACGGCCACCCAGCCCCCGTGAGTGCTGCCGAGGGTGGGTGGGGGTCCCAGGGGAGCTCACTTTGCACCCCTGACTCATCTCTCCCCACGCAGGCAGGGGCCTGCTCCGAGGAAGGTGGGTCGGTTCTTCCCTTCTCGTGTGTAGCCTGTGGCAGCAGCTCTCTGGGGGCACGAAGCTGGCACCGGAGGGGAAGCAAAGCGTGTGGGACCAGGATGCTGCCTTGTGGGCTGGTGGTGCTGAGCTCCGAGCCCTGCTCTGCTTCCCTGGGGATTGGGGAGCAGGGCTGGCTCTGCCCAGCCATGGTGGCGGGGATGCTGCCCC